CGGTATCAGAGGCGCGGCTGTCTGCTTTGCGAGTGGGCGCTGAGGGATCAGGGACAGGTCACAAGAGTCGCACTGGCACAGCTGAAAGTTTTTTATTTCTTATTCTTATTTATTGCATGAATAAGGTAGGTTAGATACAGCAGTTCCATGCATCGCAGGCTTCACTGGTTTGATTATTTACCGTTTCATGTCAAGGACAAGTTCCATGTTTACCACAGCACAGCTCGCTCGGGGCGTTCAATGTCGGTTCTTTAAAACTTCAATTAATGTTAATAATATTTGTTTCAATCACTGAATGAAGCCTGCTATATTTGGGACAAGAGTCGCGACCTTAAATTGCTTGCACAAAACTCTTGATCAGCACTCAACATTTGTTTATTGTTGTTGTTGTTCATTTAAACCGTTATGCGCAGAGAGCGTGAGGTGAGGGAGAGAGAGAGAGAGAAAGAGTGCCTAGCGAGAGTGAGGTCTGCGGTCTTGGCCATTAGTTGATTTAGGCTACTTGTTTTTGTGTAGGTAATACGTTGTCAAATATGTTTAAACTTAAATAAACTACCTAAACAAGTAGTTATGTCTCTTTGTATTAATTTGACCTGTTATTGACGTAATGCGCGTCATTGACAAAATGCACAACCAGATGTTCGAATAGTTCGAATATATATGTGTTTTTTTAGAGGGATTTTTTAGAACGTAATTTTTGAGTAGCCTAATTTTGACAGCCCTAGGAAGGAACGACGAGTGTTAGTGTGTTGTTGCCGATGGAGCGAACGTGTGTGTGTTGCGGGTGGAGCGAACGAGTGCGTGTTTTGTGTATATTAATGAGAAGGGCCTGCTTATTCTGCATAATCTGGTCCCAAGCCGGTTCGCAGGACGAGAGGGCAACACGCATGTCAGGAGAAGCATTCAGTTTGTTTCGTTGTTTCAAAGCTATTATTATTAATATTAATTTAATTAGAAAACGGATTTTTTTTTTTTAAATCACTGGCGACCCATTTTTTAATTCTCGCGACCCACCCGAGGGTCGCGACCCAGAGTTTGAAAACCACTGTGTTAAATCATGCTAGCAACATGTTAATTCATGTTAAATCATGCTAGCAACATGGTAATTAATGCTAACAACATGTTAAAACATGTTAACAAAATTATAATTCATGTTAACAACATCCTAAATCATGGTAGCAACATGGTAATTCATGTTAAATTATGCTAGAAACATGGTGAATAATGCTAAATCAAGCTAGCAACATGATGAAACATGATAGCATCTTGCTAATTAATGCTAACACCAATGATAAAAAATGTTAACAAAATGTTAATTCAGGTTAACAACATCCTAAATCATGCTAGCAACATGGTGAATAATGTGAAATAATGCTAACATCATGTTAAAACATGTTAGCACAATGTTAATTAATGCTAACAGCATGTTAAATAATTTTAGTTACATGGTAATTCACGTGAAATCGTGCTAGCAACATGGTGAATAATGCTAAATATTGCTAGCAACATGATGCTAGAAACGTGTTCCCTGTTGTCTAGAGATGCGCGGATGGGCTATTATTTCATCCGCAACCGCATCACAAAACTCATCATCCGTCCGCCATCCATCCACACCAACGTTTTTGACCAGTTTTCAAAACCACACCCGCCCGCCATCCACTGATTGGGCGTTACAAGGCGCTGCTGATGACAGCCGCGAGACTAGAAAGCTCTCAGAATATCAGCAGTGAACTCCGTCTCCGATCGGCGCGCAGGGACACAAATAAATAAATAGCCTAAATTAAACGCACTTCGGCAAACCTGACCTTATCTGATAGGCTACTGTACAATATTTTCATTGTAGCCTAATAGAAAACGCATTTTGGCACATCATTTCAACATGCTGCTATTATATGGGGCACCGTTTGTAAAGCAGCTCACGCTGAAAATAACAGCAACATTGTCACATTTAGCTTCAAACAATGTTTGAAAAACTGGTATGAATTTTTGACGGTCACTTTTTAGCACATTTACAACAATATTTGTCAACTTAGAGATATTTTAAATAGTTAAATTAGGCTAATTATCTCTACGCACTGTCATGTCAGGGTGACGACGATAGGACGAGCCTGTTCTGAAGACTCCCGCTAATTTTGAATGCACGGGAAGAGAGCGGAGAGCGCGTCTTTTTCAGGCACAGTGCAATTCATTTTATACCATCAACAGGCCTAACAATCATATCATAAACTATAGAGCCTCGATATTGCCTGATGAAAATTTGACTATTTCAAAGTGTGCTCGATTGTTTTTGGGGTTTTTGTTGTTGTAGGTATAGTCAGATATCAATATTTAACAATGTAAACATATATTTTTCATTTGATTGGTTCAACCACCTGCCACCCGCCTTAATTTAATTAAAAAAAAACTTTTCGTCACGTCATCCACCCGATCCGCGGTTTATCCGTGGAGTCCGCGGCTGTAACCGCCAACCGCGCATCTCTACTGCTGTCCCAAACGTCAA